ATTAAGTGAGCCTTAATGAGAAGAATGGACGTCTAAATTTCAAGTTATTTAGATCTATAAAAAAAAATTAAAATTCAAACACAAAATAAGGTCGTGACCGTCAAATCGTCCCAGATTCAATCTGAGCCGGGCTCATATGTTCATATGACCTAGTGGACTAATATTATATATATATATATATATATATATATATATACACACACATACATACTATGTCCTTGTTTCTCACATTTATGTATGAATTTCCTTCTTTTATCTGATTATGTTATGTAATTGCTGCTTTGTAAAAATGTGTTTTCTTGGAGCCAGACAATTGGTTAACCATAGACATATTTTAGTTAATGGTCATCTAGTAGATACAAAAGCCCCCTCCTTTAAGCCTCGATATTTGGTGTCTCTAGTACAAACTTCAAAGGGTTTCAACCGTTTATCACCCAAACGGGGATGTTAACCGCTAAGCCAAAGTTACTCAAGTTATTCGATTCGTTTCAAAATGTGTGGATCTTTGGATCATTCTTCTTCCTTTCTTTTTTTTTTAAAAAAAAAATTCTATACTCCAATTACATGCCATTCTATTTATATTATGCATGGATTTGGGTTTCTATGGTATAAGCAAGTTTGATAAGGGTATTGAGTTGCTTTATACATATGCCCAGTGCCATTTAGGAAAACATTTATGGATAACTGATAAGTTTAGGACGAAGAATAGCTATTGTTTGTTCAATTTTTCCTATTTCCTAAGATTAAATGGAAGGAGTGAAATTTTGATGAGTCAATAGGTTGTATAAGAATGAGTAATTTTACTTTGCATTTTTTGAGTTCTAAATACTGTATTATTAAATTTAAAGACTTCTTATGCACATGGAATAAATTACGTAATGAATTAATTTTTCGTTACTTATATTTCTCTGTTTTTCCTAATTGTCCTGTTACTTTCCCTAGTTTTAATCATCATAGTATTTATTGTAATACATGCATCAAGCGACCATGTCATTCAGTTATTCAATTTCGTCAGTCAACTCACATGATTCATGAGAAAATATTTTTCCGATGCGGGAATGCCCTCAAATTGATCATCTCGACCTTGAGATGCATTTGTATAAGGGGGAGGGGGAGGGGGTGGGTGGGATTTCAAGTCTTAAAAATTAATGGATCTTGTAACACACTATCTAGGCCGTCCATTTTTTAAGATTTTCAACCCCGTTGCAATTCCTAGTCTTTCTACAGCTCAATCTACAGCTTTTTTTTGAGTTTTAAATTTCATAGCCAGTAAGGAAAATAGATTTTCAAGACATCCTAAGAATTTCCAACACCAAAATAACATCTTCAAATAATGTTTGAAGGTGCATCTTTCTTTGATTGTTTAATGTTGACACCTTATGCAAATCGCACCCTTATTGAAAACACCCATAAAACAACTAATTTTATTTAAATTAGTGAAATTCTCAAACCCAGTTGTCAAATTTAAACAAACTTGATGCACATGGAATGGAGTAATATAATCAACTCATATGGTGAACTCTTTTTCATTTTCTTTCATCACTTATATTTTTCTGTTTGTTCTGATTGTTCTTTTTACTTTCACAATTTGTGATCACTGTATTATTTATTTATTTACAAAATACATGCATCAAGGTACCATCCATTTGAATTGGTGTATGGACTCACTTGATTCATGAAATAACTCAGCTTAGTGGCTGAGAGTTTTTCTGTACTTGTCAGCAAAGTATGCTTCTGATCATATGAATCTTTGTTAGATGCCACTGTTGAAGTATCTTTTCCTGGGCCATAATTCTTGTGTAGCAAAAATATTTCCTTGTGTTGAGAAACAGTGGCCATTGTTTTCCTTCAGGTGTTTTATTTGATTAGACAACCATTCATCTTAAGGAATCCGGTACAATGGTGCTTATAACTATCATCTGCTCTCTACATATTGTAAACTGTTAAAATTGGTGTTCTCTTGAACCTTGAAGTTTCTAAAAAAGCTCTGACACTATGTATATATCCATGAATCAGAGAATAAAAAATGTTTCCTTTTTAATGTTAGAACAATCAATGGATGAAAATTCCGCCTGGCCACCTAGGCAGCCGAGAAGGCCAAGTGAACAGAATAGGGCATAAGCTAGGGCCACCTAGGCAGCCAGATGAAGTTCTCTTGGCTGAGGGTGGAAAAAGGTCCTTCACCAAGGGCAAAATTTGGTATTCCCAACCCCAAACAAAAAATGGGGGACGCGGTTTGCGGGGGCATTTTAGCGCCCCCAAAATTTATTCGAGTTCATATCTCGGTTGAAAAACATCCTAACAAACAAGGATTTGTGTTCTTTCTTTTAAGATTAAAGAAAATAATGACAAAGTTTTTTATTTTTTGCAAAAATTAAAAAGTGTTCGACCCAAAACTTTTTGAAACTTAAATGGTCGCAAAAGAGGTCTTTTGACAACCAATGGTCACCGATTTGTGCTAAGCTCGATTGGGTCTTGAGAGGTTATTGTATTCATTTCTTGATTTAGGGGATTTGGTGATATTTATGAATGTTGGGTATTAGTTTTTTTTTAATACAATTTGGTTATTGTTTGTGTGGATTTTCTTTCATTTTTGACTTTCGATTGTTGGCTCATTGAAGTGTAGGTTTCATATGTGTTTCGGCATTTATTAAGATTTGAGTAAGTCAAGTCTAAAAGAATGTCAAGTCAAGCCTAAAAGAATGTCCATAAACTCAAGCATGCTATGTTCTGTTCTTCCTTGGATTGTCCAAATATTGAAAAGGGGCAAGAAATTAGACGTTCTTTAAAAACCATAAAACAATGTTCTTTAAAAAATATATAATTTCTGCACACTCAATCAAGGGGGTTTAGTAACCAGCAGAACCTGCCATAATCATCGGCAAGGACCCTTTTTTCAAGTTTGCCTAAGTATCTAGGTGGCCGCCCAGATACCTAGGCGACTAAATCCGCCTACTTGAACATTGGAGACAATAACAAAAGGGGAAAGTGTACTAAGCTTCTAATAAGATGATTAATGTCTATTGAGAAAGAGAGAGAAGCACCAAACAGGAGATGTCCCCAGTTGTCCCACTTACCGTTCAAAAATTAGGCCGCCTGACTGCATTTAGAGAGAGCAAAACTCAAAAATCTAGATTTTTCAAGAATTTAATTGAATTTTTTGTTTTCCCCAAACTTTTTGATTGCTTGGTGAAATAAAAAAAAATCAACCCTATGCTTTTTGTGGGTTGAAGTGGTTGTGAAAAACACTTTTGGCAAACAATGGTCACTGATTCAAGCCAATGTCTATTGCATCACGGAGATGTAGACATTGTTGCTAGTGATAATGAAACTCAATTGCCAATTTGAGTTCAACATATTGGTTATGCAAGGGTTGTAACTTATGATTTGTGATTTTCTGTTTATCGGCAATGATGAACAGATAATGTAGAATGGTATTTTCGGAATAGTTTTAAACCCTTAGTATTTCAATTTAGAATTTAAAACTGATTTATGTATGAGTATATATGGGACTTAGATAATGTTTTTTATTTCCATTTCTGAAAAAAATGGTTTCTAAGGTCAATTTGTGGTGTTTGGCTTTCAACCCAACCCCCTCAACATTATCCTTGGGGTCTAGAACTCCCAACTTCCTAGATGGGCCTCCCAGCTGCCTAGGCAGCCTGGATCCCTGGTTGCCTAGGCAGTCGAAGCGATTTTTTGCAACAATGGTCTCACTCTCCATCAATCGCCATCTGTCATTTCATCTGAAAGTTATAACCCCAATGAACTAAGAGTATACCATGTACCACTGAATTGGGAGAGCAGTAAATCTTAATATGCTTCTTTATTGCTTATTCAGACTTGCTAGATCGCCCACCAGGGGGGAATTACAAAGCCTTGACCTCGCAGCTTCACAAAATCTTGCAGACTACGAAAATATTTTAGCACGATGATTCAAGACTCTACAGCAGAGCCATTGCTTTCAGATGTCAATGATCCAAATGCTTCAAATATCAAAAAACCCAGAATCAATAGAGGAAAATATCGGCGGTGCAAAAGCGCCCCCTCAGTTGACGCATTTCTTGTTCCCGGAAAGAATGGAATGGGGTTGAATCCCCTAAAAGGCTTTGGAAAGTATCGCCCAACTTTCTGTCATGTCTTCATATTCCTAGCCTTCTACTTGGGAATTGGTACGCTCTGCTTCTGTAGCATAAAACATGAAATAGGTGGAAAGAAGACCAATGCAATCCTCGATGCCATATACTTTTGTGTTGTAACAATGACAACTGTTGGATATGGAGACCTCGTTCCTGAAACTATCACAGCAAAGCTCCTAGCCTGTGCTTTTGTTTTCACAGGCATGGCAATGGTGGGGCTTATTCTAAGTAGTGCAGCTGATTACCTTGTTGAGAAACAAGAGACTCTAGTGGTTGAAGCCATATGTAATCACCAAAAAGTTGGATTTAATGAGATGATCAAGGAGATGGAGATCAATAGAGTGAAGTATAAGCTGCTCACTGTGGGGACTATTCTAACTCTTCTGATAATCGTGGGGACAGTTTTCTTGGTAAAGGTTGAGGGGCTGAGCTTTGTAGACTCCTTCTACTGTGTTTGCTCCACAATTACGACATTAGGTTATGGGGATAAGAGCTTTTCCAGTCAAGGGGGCCGCATATTTGCTGTGTTTTGGATTTTGACAAGTACTCTATGTGTTGCTCAGTTCTTTCTCTACATAACTGAGATGTACACAGAGAAAAAGCAGCGACATATTGCTCATAAGGTGCTCAAGACGACCATGGCCTCTTCGGATCTTGAAGCAGCCGATCTTGATGCTGATGGGGTCTTAGGGTAATTATCTCAAAAACAACTTTAATAACCCTGTAAATTTTGCACTTCTCTTTTAAGTGATCTAATTTGATTAGCAGATTGCATAGACACTTAACAAAAATCCTGTAAGAAACCTAATCGAACGTTACCTCCACTACAAGACTAATATTGAGGGAAATCATACTTACAACAGGCCCTGTATAGTATGTGTTGTATATGGTACCGAATCGGGACATCGGTTGTGTGCTCTCTAAAAGCACACAACTAGTGTCTGGAAACATGAGTTGGCTGCGGAACTTGGGCCTTGGATGGTCCAAGTGATTCAGGTGAGTGAATCAACTCGATCAAGTCCATTGTGAACTGTCCTAGGAGCCCAAAATACCCCAAACAAATTGGGGGAAGCTCTGAAAAATGGGTAAAAATAAGGGGGAAAATAGAAGGAAAAAGTTTGTATGACGTTTCAACCTTATACTATAGAAGAAAGGTTCACCTCAAAAATCTAGTAGAAAAGAGTGCTTCGAAGTTGGAAAACCTTCCAACTGATCATCTCTACCTCGAGATGTATGGACATAAAGAAAAAATAATAATAATAATTTTAAATCTTAAATATAATGCATCATATAAAAAGTTATCTGGACCGTCTATTTTTAAGATTTTCAAATATTTATAAATCTGTACCATCTGCACTGTTTTTAGATTTTTAATTTTATAATTCTGATTGAACATGGATTTTCAAGCAAGCCATCGTATGGTGTTCAAGACCAGAACTGCATCTTCCCGCAAAATTTGAAGATGCGCCGTACTTGTATAGTATAAGGTGGACAACTTATACAAACCTTACCCAAAAAAAGAAATAATGATCAAGAACATAAAATTTATATCTATGACAAAAAAGTTTTCAAATAATAGAAAAAGAGAAAACTGCTTTAAAGATCATTTTAATAAATAAATAATTAATTAATTAAAAACATAAAAACATGAAAAGTATACACAAGCTCAATTACAAATCCATTATATATATATCCCCAAGTTGGGGTTGTTCCGGGCTCAGCAGCCTGCTAAGATAGAGTGACTTAGACAAGACGAGTCAGCTCGCCCCGATCAGCAAACACTGCCAGTGATTGTTGGGAGCAGACCAGTGGATAACCAGGCTGTTTGTTTACCCTATAAAACGTGGTCTGTATATGGTATGCTATCCTATTGACTAAGACAGTATATCCGAACAAAGTAACCAAAGGAATGACGGATATTAAGCATGACAACAGAAAGGAAAGGGGCAGGCTAGAGTAAATTAATGCCAAAACCAGAAGTTACACTGAAAAATTCACAAAGCAACATGGCTTTGGCACTGTGACAGATAGAATAAATACTATAAATATCAGTTAATGCGTCTGTTACATCTGTTTGTAATCTGGATTTTAGTTTTCTTTATTATTATTGAGATTCATGTATTACTATATCTAATTTGTGGGTAGAGCTGGCTTCTGTACTCGACATATGAAATTCTTTTGGTATGTCATAAAACATTATAAATGTCATTTAACTTCGTTTTTTCATCTGTGGTTAATCTGGTATTTGAGTTGCTTTTCGTCATTACTGAATCATGTATAGGTTACCTATTTTATCCCATAATTTCGAAAGGTCCATCTGCCTTTTCAATTGGGTTCTTAGCTCTTAGTTTTGTTTGCGTTTTCTTTATTTGAACAGGCCCGAGGAGTTTGCGCTATATATGCTGAAAAAGATGGGGAAGATTAGCCAAGAAGATCTTGTCCTTGTGATGGCGGAGTTTGAGAAACTCGATGTTGACAGGTCAGGGACAATATCAATATCAGACTTGGAAGACTTTCGCAATCTCTGAATTCTGATAGTGTTTAATTGTACATTACATGACGTGTATACCATCCATTCTCAATGATGGCCAGAGGAGATCAACCATAGTTCCCTTCACGAACAGAGACCTGGAACCATTGTTCATCTCTTTTAATCTTGAGAAGAAATACTGGGTACCCCACGTGTAAACCACGCATGTGTTGGCTAATGTTTGTATCAGTTGCTTTAGCTTTAGATCCCTTTGCAACAATATGGAGCTGATTAATGGAAGCTAGATCACTCAAAGAGGAGCTGACAAGTTAAGAGTGTTTCTATGGGTTGATTTCCCCTATTTCTTTCTTTATTTGATGGATTGGAATTCGAGTTGAATATTGTATTCTACCGTTTGATTTTTTATTTTGTGCCTAAGAATCGATTGAGGAACAAGGTGAATCTGCAGAAAGATGTATTTTGGTTACGTGTTAATTTACAACCCTGCAACCCTGTTCTTGCAGTTCTTTTGATAAAAAGTTGGTTTTAGAGTTTGGATATTGAGTGGGCTGAATCTTTGTGGTTAGAACGTTTCCTTCGTTAGTATGGTTTTCAACCATGGTTGTAAAGAAAACGTGGCAGCGCCTAAGTGGTCAGGAGAGTAAAAGTGCTGAGTGATGTATGGGTGCTTAGGTTTCGAGGTTCCCCAATCTCCCACCGATGTTACAAATAAATGTATGTATGTGTGTCAAATGCATATATGGACTTTGTTTCGATGTACTTATGACCACTGATTATTCATTGTTTCGATAAAATTAATCATGACAATGAATTGTCTCATAGCTATTGACAAGGATTTCACAGACGAGCATTGAAATCCATGGATGAAACCTTTTAAGTGATTTTGTTTTGCGGAGAAGAGCAATGATATCCATGGATGAAACTTTAAGTGATTCTGTTTTGCGGTGACTTTCATCCACTGACGATGGATTACATCGGTTTCTATTTGAGCTTCGTGCTTTGATATCATTCTTCGATTTTCAGGGGAGTGAGGGTGCCTTTTCGTGTGTTCAACTTGGCATTTTTTCCTTTGCATTCTTCTTTTTCACTTTTTAGCGCCTTTCAAGTGTTCAAATCGGCTTTTTTTTTCTTTTTTTTTTTTCCTTTTTTTTTTTTTTAGAGCATGGGGCCTTTCAGGGGTGTAGCCCAGCTTTTTTACTTTTTTTTGTTTCTCTCCTTTGACTTGACACAAGTACAGTATCCAAATTTCTTCTTCAGCTCGTGTCTTTGGCTGTGTGGTGCTTTGGTCTTGTTGCCTCTATTGTAAATCTGTCGATAAAATTAATCATGACAATGCATTGTCTTATTGTTAGGTAGTGTCCCTTGTAAAGTTATTTTAGATAAATATTTGAAGTGTTTTTATTTTATTCAAAGTAATTTATTAAAAATTACATTTTTTTAAAAAAATCTAACTAAAAAAAATAGCAAAATAATACAAGCATATTAATTTCAAATAAGTTAATATACACATGACAAGATTAGCTATATCCAAAAAGGCCGTGTGTGTATCACTGACGCCTGATTCTTGATCACTGATGTTTGGATGAATATCAAGCTCTAAATTACCTAGAGGTTCCTAAATATAACTTCTCTTGACAGTTCAATATGGATCAATAAAAAAGAACGGTAATAGATTTCTCAAACTAAACATTTTTCGACCAGAGAAAAATTCTTCTTTTTTTATGCCGTTTTTTGCCAGAACTTTGTGGGACTTCAAAACATTCTCATCCCATTTACCCCCTATTGAAAAGGGAAAAAATGACTTTAATGCCCCTTGGTCAAGGGTACTTCCGCCTTAGGCGCATGGTTCAATGTAGTGTTCGCAAAATCGAACCAAAACAGTTAACTAGACATGGGGCCGAAAGCGGTTTAACCGGCCTAACCAGTAAACCGAGCAATTCAACCGTTCTAACCGAGCAAGTCTTGGGCAGCCAAAAAATTGTTGAAACAAATAAAAAGATGTTAAAAAGAATCTACTAAAATATGAAAAACATATAAAGAATGATTAAAACAAAATACATTCAAATAAAGTTGAAAATTAATAAAAAAATAGATTTTAAAAGTGAATATTAATGATCAAAACAAATTTTAGTATTTATCATAATGTAAAAAATATTAAAAATCAAATTCCTTATTTTTGAGATTTTATAAATATTTTTTAAAATTTTTATTTTTTAAATACTGACCAATCACTAAAACTGCCCGAAAGCGGAACCTTAACCAAAACGCCTGACTACTTGGTCCCTAGGCGGCGTAGGGCAGGCACCTAGGCAAAAAGCGGGCAGTTTTTGCATCTACGTGGTCAGCACTAATTTGGGTGTCCCAAAACCAATTGAGAATAGATAGCAGTTTGAGTGAGAGAGAGAAGGTGTAACCAAGTTCAAGTGACAGAGTTGGGAAAAGATGGAAATCCACGATGCGAGTTTGCTAAAAAGAACACAAACAGTACGATCACTGCGGAGGAAAACTTTTGAACATTTCGATTATTTCTAAACCATATTTATATGATAATCACATGAAGTTTCATAAGTGCCTTCCCTCTTGTATTTTGGCTGGAAGATGTTCCTCTGATAACATGGATATAGAAAACACAGACAACGCTTCAATTTCGAATTTCACCTCTCTTTGCAACATCTTCTCTATCTCCAACCTGCAGAAAACAATTCCCTGTCATAAATAAGCAGAGTACTCCAATTAAACATGAGACTTTCTCAATCCTTCAGGCTCTAAAAGTTCAATTTTACCGCCAGTGTGGCACTTGTTGGTGCAGATAGCATCTCTGTAACAGGGCCTCAGCTTTCTTTTTATCTGTATATATGCTCAAAACTTCAGTAGTCCAGTAGAGAGAGAGTACTCAAAACTTCACTAGTCCAGTAGAGAGAGATGTACTCAAAAGTTCACTATCTCAGACAGAGAGAGAGATCAACTAATAAGGGGGAAGGCTGATTATAAGAACACACATAGCACATGTCTGAAACTTCATTAGCCTGTTGGAGTGAGAATTTGTCCTATGATTCTCACCTCTGTGTGTCAGAGGAAGTAGACATCTCCTTGGGAGGCCAATGGCTTCAGCATCTGAAGAGAAGATACCAAGCCAACGAATCTCTGGGATACGTAGTAGTTTTGCATCATAGGCCATTTGCTTCGCAGACATTATTAGAGATAAATACATTACCAACGAATGCATGACAAAACACAGAGCACTCGACATATACTAGAATCAGATACAAGTAGATGCTTGGAGGTTATAAATCTATAATGCATGGGAATGATGTAAACTAGGAAAGGAAAATAACCATGATCCTATCCTTTCATTGCATGGTTCCCACAACACCTACAGAATAAAATTGTAAAAAGCAAAGTTAAAAATTCCACCTGCATTCCCTAATTTAGGTTAGGAAGACCATTAAGAAGAGAACCGATACCCTTATCCTCAACTCTCCAGACTCACATTCATGGAAAGGGAATAAGTATGAGACAATTCGAAAAATCTAAGTTATGATAACACAGATTTTCCAACTTCAAAAAATCTAACTGAGAGGAGTAAAAAATGTTGAAAAACTATCTGGTTTTTTCCTCTGAAATCCTTGTTACTTGTGTGTCATTCATTACCATAAATTTGACTATCACCATCACTCAACTATATAAATATTTCCCCATACCCAAGAAATTAAAATACGAAGTGCAAGAGAAAGGAAAAGGAAAATTTACATATAAATAGGATTTAATTAATATGCTTTGGTCCATATTTTTGCAAATTTTACATTGAAGTCCTATGTTTGAATAGTTTTTTATCCCAGGTTTCACACAAATATTAGATTGCCTGATTTTTCTTATTTTTTATTTTGTTAAATCCTAAGACAATGCAGATAATGGAGGCCCCATTTTTGGGTGGTCCAATTTGAGGAACATCAAACTGCCCCAAGTTTCATCATCAAGTTTTGTATGGGGAAGTTTGATGCTCCAGACATTGGACGACCCCCTACTTAGATTGTTTTGTTGAAGTATCCTGTCTGATACTTCCAAAACTGGACTGCTTGATACTTCAAATTTTTTATAAGTATCAAGGGTGGTCCGACATTAGACATATCACCCTAAACCTTTTCAATTAAATATATATTTGGTAGTTCAGCAGTATCATTCGAACTTAAGATATAACATTGCTAACGTCAACTGCTAACCACTTAAGCCCAAGCCCGATTCTTAACTTGCACTGAATAATTGGTTTCATCCAGATTCATGACAACAAAACAATGATATTATTTGATGAAGAGAGTTTGCCATTTGTTGTTTCTCGCACTCAATCTGCCTTCATTCAGGTAAGGCTGATAACTGATAGTATTCTAATTGCAAAAGAATGCATAAATTCTAGAAAGTGTGAAAATCTTCCTGGTATAATTTGTAAACTAATAAAGAGAAGCATATGACAAGGTCTATTGTGGACTGCTGTGAAACATAGTGAGAGTAATGGACTTTGGTCAGAGATGACACAAGTGAATTAAGGGGTGCTTATCAAGTGCACATTTGTTAGTATTACTTAATGGCACGCCGAAATCATTTCTAAAAAAAACTAGGGGAATTAGAAAAGGGGATCCTTTATCCCCATTTCTATTCACTTCAATAACAGAGGCATTTATTGTCATGTTGAAAAATCTGTGGAAAGTGCTGATTTCTTTTTTCAAAGTGTCAAGAGAAGCACTAAGTACTCACATATACATTGATCTTTTATGATACTGACCAAAACCAAATTGTGCACTTTTAGAGGGTTATAAGATGTTTTGAGATATCCTCGTCTTAAAGTAAATTTAGAGAAGACTACTTTGGTGGGTATTTCTTATCAAGAAGACGAGGTTACAAGACTGCAGCAATTATGGTATACAAAGTTGGTTGTGCCCATCACAGACGCAAGAATTTCTGGATCTATCTGGCACCTAATAATTCATAGATTATATTTTTATTTGAGCTAGGTACATGGAAGGCCAAAAACTTGTCATTAGGCAGAAGGATAACCTTGATCAACTCTATCCTTGTCAATTACCCATATACTGCGTGTCAGTTTTGGTTAAAAATGGCATATGCAGGGCCAGTTACCTCATTGGAGATGGTGGAAATGGGAGAAGGCAGTCAACTCTTTGGAAAGGGATAGTGCACTGCAAGCCTTTCTTACAAAGATATGTCAGAAAAATTGTATGAAAGGGAGATAGAACGTTGTTGTTGCATCATAAATGGTGGGGTTTCTGAACTTTTTCAGAGAGTGGAAGACCAGAATGTGAGAATGTGGATGTGTCCCTGGTAGAGGAAGATTGACTAGTTGGCAGACCATGTTTATATAAAATATTCTTAGATAGTGTTAATTCCCAGTTTGCTCCAGCTGATACAAGAGTTGCAGTAGTTGTACTATAGCCCAGAAAGAGAGGATGAGATTGTGTGGGAAGTGGACTCTGGTAGTGAGTTCTCACTATTTTTTTTGTTTCATGACAAGAATAAGTTGGCACCATCTAATACATCTATGATTTGAAATGAACCATTCCACAGAAAGTACAATTCATTAGTGAGCTTCTAACCAATGACATGCTATAAGGTACATATCATAGTAAATATATGTATGTTGCGTAACCAAGATGAAGAACCAGGGGATCATCTATTGTTAAGATGCCTCCATCCTCAAGAAATTGTAGATGTGGGATATTGGAAAAATGGAAATTCAAGTAAGACTCCCCTGATATGCCACTGCTATAGTTGATCATGCAGACATTGCCCTACAGACTAACGTTGGTAAGCTGATTTGAAAAGTTTTCAAACCAGCTACACTTCGGGAATTATGGAAAGAGAGAAATATAAGGGTTTTTCAAAGAAATTGTCTAAGAGTAGAAGGCTCAAAGGGAGGATTTTGGAAATCGATGTTAGAAGACTATTGGGGTATCTTGAGAACTGATACATTGTACAATCTTTAAGAAGTTGCAAAAATGGGGATTCAAAAGAGAATGATTGGAGGCCTTTGGCAGCCTCCTCCACAGGGTGCCATCAAACTAAGTTTTGATGGAAGTTCCATTAGTAAACCTGGTCCTGCTGTGTTTCGAGGATTAATATGAGACCATCTTGGTAATACACTGATTATTCTTTTAGGACCATGTGGCTCAACTACAGCAAATGAAATAGAAATAAGAGCTATCCTGCAAAGATTGAAGGGTATACAGGCTGAACAACTCAAAACATTGATAATTGCCAAAGGTGACTCTTTAAACACTATTAAATAGTGCAAGAATGAAAGGGTCTCCTGGAACATGAGATCAATGTGGTCGACATTGAGGACATCCATGCCAGATTTTGTGTTTCTTCTGTGCATGGTTACAGGGAAGGCAATGAGGAGGCAGATATATTGGCTAAATGGAGCCTTCGTAGTAAAGAGTTCAGATATTCAGCACTTGTCTTTTTACTTAGAATGCCACATCAGTTTTGTAATGTTTGTGATATTCATGGAAGTTATATGATTTTATTCAAAAACATAAAGTGCAGTTTCTTCAAAAAACAAAAGTGCACTTTCTTCCAATGGATTATATTTGAGCAAGCACAAAAGAGATTCATCAGAAGTACCAAACACTCCATAAGAAAAGTAACAAGAAAATTCCATAGTTTTCACGTCAAAGGTCTCTAAATGGTAACAAGAGAAAAATAAACCAAGCCCACGGTTCAGGGATCAGTTTGTTCAATGGCAGTCATCCCCAAAGCATATCAAGATATTATCAAGTTAATACTAGTTTCCTTTCTCAAACAAACCAATAAAAAATTGAAAGTTATATTAAGAAAAACTCAAGAATAAAGGCATTAATTGTGCAGGCTCTTATAATATGTATAATGCAGGTTCTTACCATTGAACCAAATCGGTATGTCAGCAAGATATCAAAACCAAAAGGATCGCAGTCCACCAAGCAGTAGACAGGCAGGGACAGCTCATCAATAAGAAGTCGTAAGAATCTATTAGAAACATACAAAAATCATTCCCCAAGACTTGGATTCTTAAAGAGGAAAGAGTAAAGATGTCGACTTGAAAACATTATACATAACAAATAAAACTTCCACCTGAAATAGCTAGGAATTCTTACCTTCGGGTGGGAACATCAGGATAACCCCTGCCCTACAAATGAACTTGTAAATTAAGCAAAGTACATAATACTCCCCAACAATTAACCACTTACAAACTAAAAGAGTATTTACCGTTATCACAATACAACGATTCATTTCACAGAATTTGTCATTTGCCAAGCGCTGAAACACTAGAAAAGAAATACGATCAGCAATCCAAAGCACATAAATGATGCAACATATCTCCTACAGAAAACTATTTACCTGTTTCTTTCTCCACAACTAGTATATATCTAGCGAAGCCCATGATATCTAGCACATTGAGCATTTGGATAACATCTGATCTCTTAAGTCTCTGATACCATATACAGCTGAATTGTGAATGGTTAACTATAACAAGGGGGCCATTTACAACAGGATTGCAACCTTTTTATTTTAACAATATGAAATAACAGTGTTAATTGAATATATCTATGGGCAGGTGAGTAAAAGTAAACATTCTGATAAATATGGATCTAATAAAATTACAAAATGAATTAAACGTTTGTATCAATTTTTTGATAGACGCATGTCAATCTTCCTCATTCATCAATGAAAATGCATTCCAAATTCAGGATGCACCATAAAGAGGCTTGTCTAGAATTACAACAAAACATCCCTAATAAGGGTACACTGCCAAAGGCAGGTAAAAGGCCTCATGGTGGGATGCATTGCTCTACAAAAGTAAAGTTCATATTTTATAATAGGGTGTGGTTTGTATAACGTTGCAACCTTAAACAATTAAATTAAGAAGCACGTCTAAATTTTATTATAACAAGTAATTTTGGGGTAAAAAATTCTTAGGATGGCTTGAAAATCTATTTTCATCTCTAATTATAAAATTTTAAACCCAAAAAATAGATCAAACCAAGTAGATTTATAAACATATGAAAAACCTTAAAAATGGATGGTCCAAATAATTTATTGCAAGATGCACAATTTTGGGAACCGAAATCTTTTTTTTTTTCATATCTAGATGTCGAGATAATCAATTACAGGTTTTTTCCAACAATAAAACGGCATTTCCCAATGAATTTTTGAGGTGCACCTTAATTCTACCTTTTAAGGTTGCAACCTTATATGCAATCAGTTGCACATTATGTTCAAAGGATTCATGTTTCCCCTAATCGAACTAAAGATGATCTAACGCACCAAACTCATTCCGTATCTATTTCAATTTGAAACATCTTTGTTTTTGAGATGCCACTGACTGCGCTTCTGTTATAGCTTAGCGATATTGAACTCTTCATCCAAAAACTAAATTGCAGGTTCTAAAACATTCTCATCTATGAAAAAGCAGTGGGTACTCATAACATATTACTCAATATTGTAAATATTATTCGGAAAATGGTTGCTAGAAAATTCTTGAAATGACCAATATATTGTTACATTGCTAAGAGATAAACGCAACTTTTTAGATATAATTCCTATGGACATATGTAACTTTCAGGAAAAGTTTAACATCTCTTCTACTATATCTGAGGTATAGTTTGGGGAGGAAGCTTAGAACCATATGGCCTAGAAGGATACGTTTGACTTCTTCTACATAAACAGGGACTGGATAAGCCTGCACATTGGACCACAACTAAATTTCTTAATTAATCCATCGAAAAATGGTCATGAATGCAGCAGCACTTAGCATTCTTACAACACTAGGTCTTCTTATACAATTGAACATCCTGTTGGACTCCTTGAACCTTAAGCACCCCATCACCAATCTAAAGCAACCAAATATGAAGCATTGATATTAGATCATAGAACAGAATGAGATAGGAACATGACATAAAATCTCATTAAAAAGTACAGTGCCATTCAAGTATTTTGCATGCATATTTTATCATCCTATCTATGTTGTAACATCCTGGTATTCTTCTAACCCCTTTGATATCTTTTTGCCAAAAATCTATACATGTAATTCATAAATGTAACTTTGCCTCTTATAGACTTTCACGGTAACAGAGGAGCCAGCATCCTTGTGTTTGAGGCATGTACTCATTCACACAGATGTAACTTTTATTTAGAGACAGTTCATGGATATCGAAATAGAAATATACAGGACATCCATTACACATTAAGTACTTTGTTATTGACTTCCCATGATTCCCAGTGTCTACTTCCCACATTTTACTTGTTAATCACTTTACTTTCTCAAGTAGTGAGTTCCAAATCTAGAAATGTGAAGAGAAAAAGGAAAGGAAAACTCAAACATCCCATGCTTAAATGGAGCTTTTTAGTGTAGAATTTACCCCTTGCCAGCAGAGACCTGCAAATGGAAGAAAACCATTATGATAGTACTCTATAATTGCAAAACATAAGTCACTAGAAGGTTATAGAGATTCTATACTAGTGTAATAAACAGGATGCATTTTTATGAGGTCCTATCTAAGCCAACTTGAAGCATCTGCAGCTTGAGATTTCTTAAAGTCTATACATAAGAAAGATCAAAAAAAATTTCCTGCATGATCTTGCCTTCTAGAGCTCATGATCCCTCCCCCCCTCCTCCCTCCCTCCCTCTCATGGAAAAAAAGGATGGTTGGACTTGCGGTGCATCCCTACCTCTCTCATGGAAAAGAACGATGCTTGCACTCATGTTGCCCCTCTGTTCACATCGAAAGGTCTCCAAATTCCATCACAACATCCCCTTTGGATTTGCATTTCCAGATTTTCTTCTTCCTCACGTCTCAAGATCCCAACAGTTGGCATTATCCTTTTTTTTTTTGGGGTGAATACATATCCAAAGTCTTGAAAGATCCAAAAGATCATATGTGTTTCCAATGTCCTGGTGTGGTGTAGGTTTGGATGCAAAATTTATCAACAGTTTATTGCAGGAGAGCAGATCCCAGTTCCAAGAAAATTACATGGCCAAATGTTGTGAATGTATATTACAAGGGAATTGTCTGCTACTTATTGAAGGTAAAAGTATTCACAATTTTGGAAATGTGGGAACCATGAATGCCACTAAAAGAAGATGTATTTTTGTTACTACAAATATGGAACTGTTCAAATTAGAACTACAAGTGGGATTTCCCCAACTCTTGGTTTTTTAGTGGCCACTTGGTTGAAACCCACCACCCTCTAATCTACATCCTTCTTTTGCAATTTTACACGATCTAGAATCAAAAGACACAACAACAAGTGTGGCTCTATTGCTACAGCCATACTTAGGATTCTTACTTTCATGAGATTTGAGGGGCAGAATTAGAAGATTTAATATTGCTTAGAATTTCCTAGGGAGCAAGTTAGGGTTCGGGGTTTTTTCTTCTATAAGTATGTAAACACCGGATTAGAAAAAAGGCAGAAGAGACAAATAATTTATTTTGGATCTTGTGGAAAGATTATACCCTCCCTTACAGACCCCGAGAGGGTATAATCTATTGACCCTTTATTTTCCTTACATTATTTTCTGGTGTATTATACCCTTCTCCCTGCATCAATTAGTATTGGAGCCAATGATTCCATCAATCAGAATGCCACCAAAACCAGCTCTTATGATCGAGGAAAAATTGCCATAAGTCATTGACAGGAAATATTGCCATAAATCATAGAGCTTAGGAATCAACAAATGAAAGAGAGCACGGACCAACAAATTAAAGAGAGCATAAATCAAGCTATTGCAAATATTCAAGGTAAGACTTGCAGAACTCGAGAAGAGATTCGTGAAATTAATCAAAGGTTGCAACGGTTAGACAACACCATTCATTGAGAAGATGGAGCTTATAACCACGTGAATCTGACACCAAATCTTAATCTTCGAGATCAAATAAAGACACTACTTTAATATATTGAATACGATGAAGAGGTAAACCTCAGTACAAAACATATTGACAAAAACCCAAAAGTGCTACATATTTCAACAATCAATAATGAAGAAGACGATACACTTTTTGTAGTATGCGAAAAAGCACCCTTTAAGCTTGAAAGGGAAATCAAGATTAAGTTTGGTATTCTAAAGTTCCACTACATGATGCACACCAATTATCTGATTAATTGGTTCACTGAACAAGATACAATACTGAAGAGACTAGTAGGACTTCATCATCAACTTTTAAGAAGGCCTCTAAAGGATATAATGAATTCAACAAACTTGGGGCCGCATTTTCCCAATCTAGGGAGAATAACATAATGGGTTTCTTTAATTTTTTTTTTGTTTTACTATTTTCTAGATTTTTTTTTTTGGGGTTATTTTGCGTCTCTAGTTTTCGTTAGGGGCATTTGTATTTTTTTTTTAGTTGCAAAGATTTGAGGGGTAGAATTAAAAGATTTAATATTGATCAGGATTTCTTAGGGAGAAAGTTAGGGTTTAGAGTTATTTTTTATAAATGTCACTATTGGATCAGAAAAAAAAGAAGAACAGAAGAACAATTTATTTTGGATCTTGGAATGAGATGTTTTTAGGGTGGACTCCTTTGTAGACCATGAAAGAGGATATAATCTCTTAACCATTTATTCGTGTCTTATATTCTTTTGGTTAGTTACTGTTCTTTCCCCTTTTCTTGGCATCAATTGTTATCAAAGCATTCCTACATCGCTTGCTACATTAAAATTTTGCAATCTTGAGTGAAAATTATCAACCATTTTATGTTTCCCGTACAATAGACCCATTATTTTGACTCAATTTTGAATGAGAAATTGTAGATTGTTGAACCCGTTAAGCAAGAAAACAGTGCACCATATGTACAAATAAAGGTCTAAAAATACTGCTATTGTATCAAAGACACAAGAAAAACAATTGGAAGTCAGAGAAAATCACAGAATAGGGTTCATGTTCATATGTTTCAGCAAGATAAATGGACAGAATATTTACACGAATCACAGGAAAAATCATTCACCATGGATCAAATACAAAAGGGGAGCAGAGTTATGGCAACACTCACAACATTTAGATTATGACGACTGCAGTGTAAAAGGATGCAAGTGTCGCTTATGGCTCGATCTACATTTGCTTGGTCTGCTATGCAAAAGAAATTTAAAGAATTCAAAAAAATGACTCCAGTATACACTTTCAAACCACATTTATGGTATACTTTTACATGGATAGCACTGTGACATAAAGGATCAAATTTCTCATAATGCAAACATCAGATGAAATTGCAAAAGCCGACTGTATGGTATTGTAAGATGTCGTAGACATCATGTATATAGGCTAGTATAGAATGGTAGTTTGATACATCCATATGTGACTATTTTTGGCAATTAATTCTGTGGCAAAGAAATTTGGACCATAGTTACCAAGTACAAGAACAACAAAATTACTTGTTCTTCACAGATGGGAAATGGAATACCAGAAAAGCTTGGAAATCTCATTGATGTTATGAGAATGTTTTCAAGCATAAAAGGAAAAAGATACTATGATCGATTTTCTAGAAACAATGAATTTGCCGGCAAGTAACCACTTTTCCCCAAAACTGAGGGTACCCCAACAGAAGCCCTTGGTTTCAGAGGCAATTCCACAGAGGAAAGAGGAGTTCAGCTTGTTAGGAGAGGCAACCCAGCCTCGCGTCACCTAAGACCATAAATCACCTTAGAAACTATGCACCTAGCATCTCTTATACCTTTATATGGACTTTATACAATTCGCATCACATCCAATATATCATGAGTGGATAAAACCCAGTAAGGCTGAATCACAGTTCATCATACGAAGGGAGACGAGAATGTTTTGTCTTCAAAACTCATCCATTTATTCTATTACCCATCAGAAAATGTCCTCAGGGGATAGCTGGAGGGAGGAACGCCTTCAGATTCATCTTATAGCACACCAATCTAGTGGCTAACTTTGTGAAATAACGATACTATGCTCACATGGAATACTGTGGAATATATCAAGGGGAAAACTGATTCTTGCATGTTTGACATAGCTTATAATGCATCAAGTTTGTTAGTTTTTTTTCTTTTTTTTTGTTAATTCGTAAGAGATAGCATCATTGGATGCTTGCACTGTACAATTTCTAGCACAAAAGCTTGAGTAACGTTAGACAAAGCATAAGAATTTAACAATCTGTTTGTACATTCCATATTTGCATTTATCATGCAGAATTGTTTTATAAGAAAGGGATTAGGTCTAACTGCTAGTTAGTTTGGTAATTTCAGTAGGAGTCAATACGAATCCATGAGTCAGATGCATATCCTAAGATGCATAGGAGCAAGAAAACGTTACAGATACAATAAAACAATTACCTCTTTTTTTGGGTGACATAAAGCAATTTACTATGGTTGAGGTAAATAAAGCAATTTACCTCAACCATGGGTACGTTGATATGTTTCTTTCTTAATAAGAGGTATATAAAAAGGTTTTACAACTCGTAAGAATATTGAAAGCAACTCCAAAGCACAATAATCTCAAGAACTATCAGAAAAATAAAAAAACAATATGCATTTTATTTGTAACAATAAAAGGAATTATCATCCAAATCCTTCAAATCCTTTACCTTGAACTAATAAAGTTCCAAGGGAATAATTGTTACAATAAGGAAATCCCTCAGCCACCATTTATAATGAGTCACACACATGACTGGCCAATAGTTTCCTTTTTGTACTCTATCACTTAGCTTTATGCAAAAGAATGGACATAAGGATTTCAAGATGATAGGTTGCTCTCGATAACAAGAAAACAAGAAGGGCTTCAATTTGATCTACTAGTAATGTTACCAATAAAAATAGAAGGATGCATGTAGTAAATGTCTCTTTTTGATGCATGCTTTCCTTCCAAAAGCAGCTTCTGAGTAATAAGAAGAACTCTAAGCAGCACATCTGAAAGAAAAAGAGATGCACCATCAACCTCAATTAAAGTAAACAAATTGCCTCTTATTGTCACCTGAGCAAAGTTATAAGCAAAAAATGCAGAATGAAATAGCAAAACGTGAGAACTTATTTCTTTAGTTTCTTTTTCATAAATTTGCAAAATAGTAAACTACAAGGCATAGCATTTGAAAAAGTAACAAAGAATCTTGATTCTACTTTACCAAGCCTATTTGCATGGCTTTCCTTTTCCATAGATATGATTTCTCTTCCGTCAGTCATGTCAGAGTTGCAAGAACTGCATTGCCAAATTTACATGGAAATAAATTATCAACAAGGACAACATGCTTGTCAATTTTCAAATTGCATCAATTTAAAAGAAATTTTTTCGCGTATATAAAATTCTAATTCCAATCTTTCCAGAGCTAAGTTTATCACCAGGACAAGAGTCAATAATTACAGAAAAAGGAATGAATCTCTTAAGATGCTTTGTTAAAAACCAAGCTAGTTCCCAAGATGCTTTTCTAAAACATCATTGATGTCATTTATGTACATGAGCAGGAAATTCAGGTACTTAATGGTTGCCATTAAGAAAGTAAACATGGCTGGTATGCCACCTCAGCATTGCTTATCCTTGTAACTTGTAAATGGTTTTCCTTCTGTACACATTCTCAGCAAGCTAAAAAGAAGTTCATCAAATATTTCTTGGATGGCTTTAGCATGAAATTTCTAACTTTAATTCCTTGGTAATTTTTCTTATTAAGTCAAGCAGAGGAATCACATCATCAAAATATGAAAGCCTTTGATTGGCAACAATTAATAGAAGTAAATATGCGTTTTTATGCTTAGAATGGAAAGAAACATGCCTAAATTACACTCTTAGGAAACAACAAATAGCAATCTAAACCAAAAACAATCTTCTAGTTCAGTAAATTATAATCGTTCTTTTGCAACTAAATCCAATTTGAATATAGAATTTCCAAATAAACGGATGAAAATATAAACAAAATTCTAATTATTTTGCTGTAATGGTGAAGATCATACCATTTATCACCAGGACCAATCAATTTACAGTGAGTCCTGTAACGATCAATGGAGACTAGAGAAGTACGGCCTTTACACAAATCTTCAATCAAAACTAGAGTAAAACCTATAAATACAGTGACAAATAAGACTGAGAAAGAGGCAGAGAAAAATTGCATACACAAGTGATTAATTTAGTATTGCACATCATATATTACTGAGAAGAAAATGAATTTTTGCTCGTAGAGGGAGAGAGAAACTAGTGGAGAGTTTAGGATTCTGCTCTAAGCTTACTGAGAAGATACATAGGAGTTTTCCACCTGAATGCGTTCAATCCTTCATACACACACATGAACACTCAGAGAGAGAGAGCGAGAGAGAGAGAGAGAGAATACAGAAGCTACAGCTAAGATTAAGGTTTGGATATGAGATTTGAGAGAAGAAATAGAGAACAGCTAAATTTAGGTTTCGGATACGAGACCCGGAAGAAGAAGGAGGAAAGATTATGCCCTAAAAATGACACCTCTAATTCTCTGGAGCAAATGTGAAGGGTTTGTTGAAGCTTCACTTCGCCCTCCCATTTTTCCCACCTTCCTCGAGCTCAATGCTGCTTTAACGGTTAAGCACATATTATAAAGGAAAAAGTTTGTATAAGGTTGCAACCTTGCACTGCTGAGGAAAGGTGCATCTCAAAAATTCTACTATGGAGAGCAATGGTTTGAAAAACGGATCGGTGACCCGGATCGGGTTTCCAAAAAATCGATCCGGATCAATGAATCGGCGATTCGGATCGAAAATCAGGTGAATCGGTCAGAATAAAGCTTAAAAAAAATTCGAAAAAATTATTAAAATTCATTATAAATATTGTTTTTAGGAATTCAATAAAAAATGAGGGTACTCCATTAAGAATTTTCATATTTTTGAATGAATATGCGAATATTGATATGTTCTTTCCCTGCATGAACCGTC